AGTTAAGTATTGATGAATGTTTTGAAAATGAGTAGCGCTTCAAAGTGTTTTGAAATAAATTTTGAAAAATTTATTCTGATTTTCGACAAATAAAAGTGGGGCGTTACAGTAAGGTAGCATATAAATTAGCTCTACCAGAAGGGTCCAAAGTGCACCCAGTGTTCCATGTATCCTTACTCTAGAAACAGGTAAAAAGGGATGCAGAAGCGGCAAAGGACCTACCTGAGACCGACGAGGACGGTCAATTCGAGATTGAACCAACAGCAGTGGTGGGTAGGCGTATCATCACCCGAGGGAAAGACGAAATTTACCAGCTTCAAGTGATTTGGGGAGATGCTGGATTGGGATTAATCTCTTGGGAAGACGAGAAGTTCATCGTTTCCAAGTTTCAAAATTTCAACCCTTGTGGACAAGGGTTTAAAAATGGGGCGGAATTGTTGTGAATTCAGTGGAAATCGATGGCAAATTGAGGAAGAAAGGGGCTGAAGTCGAAAATGGTGATTTAGGGTTGTTTGAAAAGTTTGGGAGAAATGAAGAGGAAAACGGGGAAGTGAAGGCCTTGCCTGAAAACAGCTGTAATGGAAAACGTGGCGTGATCAAAGTTAAAGGAGAGGATCGCATCCCAGCCGTACACGTCGCCCATTGAATTGAAGTCATTTGTTCACTAGATGACAAAATATTAATGTTGCTTTCTTTTATGTTTTATGCCAATTGAAAAAGGCATCTTTTGTTTGTTATTTTTATGGGACCCATTAGGATGTTATAAGTATGGAAAATGAGTGTAACAAACTCACGTTTTTTTATGCAATCAGAATTATTCCCTCAGCTTTCTCTCTCTACTCTATCTCTCTCTCACTCTCTCACCATATCTATCTTCTTCCTCACTCAAAATTTACAGAAAATCCTTACATAAATTACTAAATTAAATATTGTTAAATCGTGATCACAACAATAGGAAAAAGGTTTCTCCACAAGGCTTCCAAAACCACTAAAGGTTGGGTTTAACAAGAATTTCCCCAAAGGAATCGAACATTGGCATCACTGCCAAGAATAATCCTACTCGGCGGTCATCTCCGAACAATATAATGGCTAGCTCACTTGACTCTTCCGACTAACAGTGTCGGTCATCACGGCAGCTTTTACTCAGGTAGCTAATCGTGCCGGTAGTCCTAAACGAGTTCAATCCATATACACTGCCTATGGCTTCACACTTTGAGATCTTAGAGTAAAGCTTCTCTCGTAAGGGTTTCCAGTCAACAATGTAACACCAATCATATTAAATCCCATGCAAGTCACAAAGGTAGCATATGCATGCATATTCAAGGTAACACTTATTTTCGGAAACATAACACAAGTGTACCGAAATGGCACAGTACAACATTCTATATTCAGGTATAACTTGCAACATATAAATCATATAAGCATGATTCCAGAAGAATATGAATCCTAAGACATGCAGCTACAATTCTCATGAAGAACACTATAGCAAACAAGGCCATTTGATCACATAATTTTCAGCAAACTTTTAAATCATGGCCGCGGTCCAAATTGGAAATATCTAACTTATAGGGTGTCAGTAATTTGAAGATAGTTTAAGCTACAAGCATCGAAATAACATGATTCAAGAACCACTAGAAAGCTAACACAACGATCTACAACTTTGCTGAAGACCATTTTGGCAAATAATGACATTAGCACTGAGTTTAAACATCAAACATCCAACACATATAATCTGCTAAGAATAAGTTATATCATGTACAGCACCTCAAAAATTTTCAATTATCTCAAGTTACAGACCTCATATTTATGCAAACTTAAAACCTACAGGAACTAAACACATAGGGCTACAACTTTTATGTTGAGCACTTTCACATTTGAAAATGTTTGATACCTTAAAACAGAAATACATCAACCATATACGCACAGTCACGATTTCATAAAACTGGATGTACAACGTTTTTGTAAGAATCATAGCAAATTCATTTAAATTATTTTTCCAAGATTCCAAAAGCCACAGTAAAACAACATAACATAGTTTATTTCCTCAAAGGAACATATCTCCAAGAAACGGGTTCTTGAAGGTCAAAACAAAGGCACGAAAACAAAATTTTTCATGCAAATCATGCTCAAACTTCATCAATTAATTCCTATTCATAAACCACTTAATTAAAATCCTAAAACATGATTTCTAGCATATATAACATAAACCTCAACATGAATTTCAACCTTTTAACCAAACCACGTAATCATGCTTTGAACATCAATAAGTCACATACTCCTCATCTCACATTCAACTAGTCATGCTTCAAGCTAACATAAACTCACTCTTACCAAGACACAAGAGACATTAAAAAAAAAAATACAATGCTAGAGGTTGAACAGAGGCCTTAAACATCCACAAACATGGCAGCCTGCCTATAAGACATCAACTCATCCCATATTCTTTGAAACCCGGCAAGGGTCCGAAGAGGGGGTTCTCATTGTCTGGGTCCTCACTCGGAGACATTGAATAGAATTATATAGCAAGGGAAACTGCTATGGGCAGAACTTATCTCGATAACAATATACTAAAACTCATAACAAGGAACTTCTAGAGTCCTAACATAACTCTATATCACTAGAGGTCAACATTAAACACTATAGTTCAAAATAAACCAAAGGTGGATTGATTTCCTAAGCCCCAAAGTCACATAATCAGCAACACATCAAGAGTAGTTTCATTGCTACTCATGCAAACATCATGAGCTGCCTCA